TTACTAAGTTTTAAATGTTGACTTAGAAATAGCCTGATTTACATAGTCATATATTTTTCATGTTTTAGATAAAAAAGATTCTTGATATCTAATTTTTTTAGTTATACAAAAAAATGTTGCTGAATTCTCCTTTAGAAATTTTAGAGACTAAATAGAGTCATCATATGCTTAAAGACACTGATAAATATTAAAAGGCACTGAAAGTAAATGATATTTATATTTAAGCAAACAACACAGAGGAAAGACTTTTTATTTATCACTGGGGAAACCTGAAAGGATTAAACACTTTTCTTCTTCAAGACATCCATTCTCTAGCATTTCATTGTATCTTCTTTGTGACTTTCTTTCAAGAAAGTTTGACATCCAACTATTCTTGCTACTGTGCTTTTCACTTAACATGAGACAAACAAACCAAGGAAAGAATAGAATGAGTGGATTCAGAAACAGAAAATAATCAGCTTGAAAAATTGAAAACAATTTTAGAGAAAGAACCTTGGATACCAGTGGAAATTGAAAAAGTTTCTTATTCAATCCTACTCAAAAAGTTTTCAGTTTTCAATTTAAATATATAATTTTTAACTAAATGCCTAATACTTTTATAATAATAATTTAGAATGGAATAAAAAGGTCAATAGATATAAATTATTTTCTGGGTTATTCCTAGACACTGGTGAGTTGACCACCAGTGAGTTGACCAATAATATTGATTTTTTAGGTTTAATGTATCTGCCTGGAAAATTAAGAGTGCATTCTTGAGGTGAGGAATTGTACACTATAGGAAGTGGCCTCTTCTTACAACTTTTTAAATGAAAAATTACACTAGTGTAGACAAAAATAAATGGAATTTGAAGTTCTCATGGTTTTCAGATTTACTTTCTATTAATTAACTGTTAGTCCTCTGAACAAATACTGAACATATGTCTCATAGATATTACTTTCTGATTAATATAGCTGAGTTTAATATTGATATTGTTTTAAAAAAATGAGACCTGAATCCATTAAACTACTTTCACACTATCTTCTCACTAAAGGAAATTTCAAATTTAAGGATTTTTATGCACTCAAAAACAATGAAAATATTTCAGTTACAAAAAACTTGGCTCTCCAACCCTGCAACTAAAACTGAAATTATATCTTCTGATCTAATATGAGTCTTTGTGATGTGAAATAGGCAAGTTACTGTTTCTAATAGATATTGAATATATAATACTGAATGTTTTGCTATGGATTAATTCAATAAAATCTTTACTCTTCAGAAAATTATTAAATAATATTGAGAAAAACAATCTTGTAATAACCTTCAAATAATTTAATACCATTAAATCAAAAATAGAAGTATCTGGTATATACTTATCATTTGATTTTACCATCAATTAAAAACAATAACATAATGTAGTGGGGGCACAGTATAGAACAGAGAAGACAAGTAGTGATTCTATAGCATCTTACTACGCTGATGGACAGTGACTGTAAAGGGGGTATCTGGTGGGGACTTGATAATGGGGAAAATCTAGTAACCACAATGTTGACCATGTGATTTTATATTAATGATACCAAAAGAAACAAAATGTGACTTCTGAAAAAAAAATAGGAAATTGGATTAATTTGAAATTATCTTTAGTAGCAAAGACAAAGTAAAGATATTTATTTGTTGTTAGAAACTATTAAATATTTTTAAAAATTTAATTTAATGTTCTCCTTTCACATCATCCACTCTTGTAAACACAGTTTTCCCTTTAGAAGGACTTTTTTCCAGTAATTTAAAATATTTTTATAATTTCCTAATTACTCTCCAAAAAAAATTTTTAAATGAAAAATTACACTAGTGTAGACAAAAATAAATGGAATTTGAAGTTCTCATGGTTTTCAGATTTACTTTCTATTAATTAACTGTTAGTCCTCTGAACAAATACTGAACATATGTCTCATAGATATTACTTTCTGATTAATATAGCTGAGTTTAATATTGATATTGTTTTAAAAAAATGAGACCTGAATCCATTAAACTACTTTCACACTATCTTCTCACTAAAGGAAATTTCAAATTTAAGGATTTTTATGCACTCAAAAACAATGAAAATATTTCAGTTACAAAAAACTTGGCTCTCCAACCCTGCAACTAAAACTGAAATTATATCTTCTGATCTAATATGAGTCTTTGTGATGTGAAATAGGCAAGTTACTGTTTCTAATAGATATTGAATATATAATACTGAATGTTTTGCTATGGATTAATTCAATAAAATCTTTACTCTTCAGAAAATTATTAAATAATATTGAGAAAAACAATCTTGTAATAACCTTCAAATAATTTAATACCATTAAATCAAAAATAGAAGTATCTGGTATATACTTATCATTTGATTTTACCATCAATTAAAAACAATAACATAATGTAGTGGGGGCACAGTATAGAACAGAGAAGACAAGTAGTGATTCTATAGCATCTTACTACGCTGATGGACAGTGACTGTAAAGGGGGTATCTGGTGGGGACTTGATAATGGGGAAAATCTAGTAACCACAATGTTGACCATGTGATTTTATATTAATGATACCAAAAGAAACAAAATGTGACTTCTGAAAAAAAAATAGGAAATTGGATTAATTTGAAATTATCTTTAGTAGCAAAGACAAAGTAAAGATATTTATTTGTTGTTAGAAACTATTAAATATTTTTAAAAATTTAATTTAATGTTCTCCTTTCACATCATCCACTCTTGTAAACACAGTTTTCCCTTTAGAAGGACTTTTTTCCAGTAATTTAAAATATTTTTATAATTTCCTAATTACTCTCCAAAAAAACGCTCATGTAGACAATTATAAACATTCAAAAATATTTCTGTAACACATTAAAATCCTATCTATAAGCTGAATTTTCCAGCAATCTGGTAACAGAGGACAAACTGTTTTATGGTTGAGAAGTATTTTTTAAAAATAAGTTCACTGTGACTAAACTAAAATATGAAACATCAGAAATATTTAGAAAATATTTATACTTATGGGACTTTAAATTATATATTTTCAGTGGCAACAAATGATCAAATGATATCTCACAGGAAATGTTCTATGAATGGTTATGGAGGATATTCTTCTAATGCAAGAGATTAGACTTCTCATAAAAGGAAATTATTGAGAAAATACTTTATACATAATTCTCCATCAAAAATATTACAAGGCACATATTCAGTTATTAATTTAAAGGCTCAGTAAAGAAGTTTTGCAGAAATAATAAATACAATAGAAAAAAAATCATTAAAAAATATGTACCTCTTGCATGTGAATAAATTAAGAAATTGGGACAATCCATCCTTGTAAATAATCCTTATATTAGTTAACTAAAATTAATGTTTGCAGATTAAACAAACATTTTAATTTTTAATGATTTAAATTTTAAATTTGAGTTTGAATTTTTAATCTAAATTTCTAGGTTGATCAATTCTTTTATCCTTTGTATAAATACGCATTCATTTCTTATTAAATGTCAGAAAATATATGGCATGTATATGAAGTATATTGTTCCTAAATTGACTAGATCCTTTATATTTGTTACAGGATAGGAAGCAATAAAGATGATTTTCTTAATTGATTTTTTAAACAAGAGACATATATACTAGTAGAAATTTTGAGTTAGCAAATACAATGTCTCTATTATCAATGGGTAATTCAGTATATCAATTTATGTCTGTTTAAAACATTTTTAGTTTCCTATCATTTTGATTTGAGATATTCGTTAGTTGATAATAAGTTTCTTGAGCTACTTTTTTATAGGCCAAGCACAATATATGGTTTAAGTAATACAAAGTAGATTAAGATATTGTCCTTAGCAATCTCAGGAATCTCATGGTTTCACTGAAAAAGCTTTATATATAAACAAATCAGTATGAACACTGTGGTCCATGCTGTAATAGGGTAATGATTATCTTAGTGAATTGTAAAATCTTAACTAGGTATTTGAAGTATTTTTTCCTGATGTAGTTCTGGAAAAAAGCTATCAATTCATATACATTTTACTTTGAATAATATAAAATCAAACATTTTATTCCCAATTTTATAAACTGGAATTTTATATATAATATCAATTATAGGGAATATATAAAAATACTTTTAATGTATATTTAATTATATGTTGTATATAATTATAAATTATATGTATTATATTTATTTGATTTTATATTATGTATTTTTATATATAGTATAATTTATGTCTAAGTGTATATAAAATTATACTTGGCATAATTATATTTTATATATAGAATTAACATGATATTTTTCTATTTTAGATACTCTTATAGTATTAGAGAGAGAAATGCAGATAACATAAAACACTGCATGTATTATATTATTGTTAACACTAGAATATCTTATAAAATGCATAAGTCATTATGTCACTCTCTGAAGACCGATGAGGGGAGAAATGAAAAAAATATGACCTAATTTGTAAAATCCGTTCTCTTGAGATCTGGCTTTGGATAGATTCTGTGCTTGAAATAGAACAATTATTTTTATTTTTAAGCTCCTGGAAAGGCTTGCTCTCTTTGAACTACCCTCTAAAACAGGGAATATTATAGCATAGATTCTCTGCAGAGTAATATGGAGAATAAGTATTGACAAATTATAATTAAGATGGTTGGAGCAACCAATAGTTAGAGCCCAGATTTTTATTTAAGGTAACACATTTACATACAATAAAATGAATTTATTAAAAAACTCACAATATGATTAGTTAGTTGATATGATAATATCAATAGTTAAATACATTGTGCAGAATGATAAAGGCCACTTACACATGTCACTGGTGTATGTTGGAAGAAAAGATGTCCTTCATCCCTGTGAGGAATTTGTAGTGTAATGAGTATGACTCATAAAAAGCTAGCTGTAACAAGAGAAAATGTAGACACCATGAATCAAATATCTTTTTTAATGAATTGGTCATAAATAGAAATATCTGAAGAAAATACCTTGTGTAAAAACTCATACATCCTTCTTCATCTAATTCAGTGCACTGCAGAAGACAACTGGCAAAAGAGGAATTGTTATTTCTCGTTCCACATATCCTACTTCAGGACAATGGGGGGGCCACTGGCTGGGAGACAACTATGCACGATGGGACAATTTGGACAAATCGATCATTGGTATGTGAGTCACTATTTTTATCGTTATACTTTTGAGTTTTCCATTAGTTATTCACTTTTGCTGGTGTTAGTTCATATACCTTATAAGTTCTTCTCAGAAATAGGTCTTTGGCATCATGTTTATGACAAAGAGCGTCATGAATAGGCAGTGTAGCAGGAAGCAGAATCTGGGGTGCTGTGTAAAAACTAATGGTATACAACTAGTTTATTTTGAGAAATAATTTCATCCCTTTTGGTCACAGCTTCCTGGCTAGAAATGGCAGGAGTTCAGAAAGATGCCATTTAGAGCTAAGAATAGAAATGAACGGAAATTCTTGATTCTATGGAATAAGAATCACTTATAAATCATAAAGAATTAGAAGCACTTCAACCTAAATTTTGACAGAGTTTTTGACCATGGTTGGAAAAAGTAAATAAAACATTATCATTTTAAAGGGCAAACAGATACTTTTCTGTTTCAGATCTAGTCCTAAAATTTATTTACTATTTATATTAGGATTCTAGGAAAGCACTTAATGTTTAGAAACATTCCTTTAAAAGAAGAACTGAGAAATCTTATACATTCTATTTCACTGAAGTTTAAAAGGAATTTATTTAGTAGGGATAATTCAATTTGTTTCAAATGGTGAAACCTATAGTTAATAATTACAGAGACAACATTTTATTTTAAAAAATGAGACCAAGGAAACCACTGCCACTTTCTTCTTATACTTCCATGTGTTCATAACAGTTTTGTGATTTAAATATGTCATCTTGAAAGTGTCAACAAAACATATAGAGTCTTGTTTTTATAAAGGTCAACACTGTAAAGCAAAAAAATTTATGAATATTACAAGAAGAAATGTAATCTGAGAAATATTTTATTGAATTAGAGGTGATGTTAGAAATGGAAATTTTTCAAATACAAAAAAGAAAATATCAAAATAAATGAAATAGTAACTAAGACTTTTTTCCTAACGTTTTTAGGTATGATGGAATTTAGTCTCTTTGGAATATCATATGTAAGTAGCTCTATTCCTTTTATCTTCATGGCTTATAAATATTAGGAAACAAACTATTGAAATTAATTAATATAACAATATATTTTAGACTGGAGCAGATATCTGTGGTTTCTTCAACAATTCAGAATATCAGCTCTGTGCCCGCTGGATGCAACTTGGAGCATTTTATCCATATTCAAGAAATCACAACGTTGCATTTACTAAAGTATGTAACTAACACATTTACTTGCATTTCTTTCCCTCCATAAGTTTAGAAGTTTTTTAATAGAATTCATCTTCCCTGGCTGGTTTCCAGAGGAATTCTTTGAAACTCTTCACAGTTACTGAGGGTATCTCAGCTCATTACTTTGAGAATATTCAGGTGTGGGTTACTTTTCTTTATACTTTTGGGTTCAAGACTTAGTTAACTGGCATACTTAACTGTTCTGTATAATTTCGGAGTAGCAGGGAAAACCAAAAAACAACAAATAAACTGTCTTCCAAACTGGGACAGAACAATTTTAAAAAATCAACCTCCAATGAAATAATTAAAAGTGAAAAATCATTGCAAATTCTACTCTTAATTCATGAAGTGGACAGATTTAAAGGCAAAGTTTAAAATAATGAGTTGTGAAATTGAGGGAAAAGAAAGAAAAGTAATTATGAGAATTAATTCCTATGTGGTGGCACAACCATACGTCTGACTAAATTAGAGAAGCTAAATATTCTGGAGTGAGAATATTCTGGAGTAAAAAATATGGAAAAGTATAAACAACTAGAGGCAATATCTAACTAAGCTCTAAATTTGGGATATGACTTTCAGTGAAATTCAGAAGAAAGGGTCACCATGATTGTCTTTGCATGTCTCTGTTTATTTCAATCTAGTTTGCATAACAATCTATTTATATCCTAAACTTTAACCCTAACACTAAGTATCACCATAGGTGACAATGTATTTGTCACCTAGTCACATGTGAACTGCTCTTTACATATGACTACCTAAACTAACTTAAGCCATGGCTTTATTTGTATTTTTCTTATTAAAACATTAACATTGCACTTCCTATCTCCACTGTATGAAATAGAAATACTATTTCATAAGATTTTTATGAAAATGATTTAAACAAGGACAAAGCTTATGACTGTTTTGTTTTGTTTCAGAGACAAGACCCTGCTTCCTGGAATAAAACTTTTTCTGAAATGTCAAGGAATATTCTAAATATTAGATACACTTTATTGCCCTATTTCTATACACAGATGCATGAAATTCATGCTTATGGCGGCACTGTTATCCGGCCCCTTTTACATGAGTAAGTGCAAAGTTTATTTTCCCTACCACAGAGGGGTGCTTTCATTTAATTTATTCAATAATCTCTTATAGTGCAATATAGAATATTTTAAATAGGAAACTTTTTTATTGTTATCTTAGTGTACATTTTGGGTCAATAAGCATTTGCATAAATCAATTTATTAGTAAATGCTAATATATGCTATTAAAAATGTGACATTTATTAAAAAGTAAAGTTATTAAAAAGTTATTAAGAAGTATTTTATTACTTCTTAACAATAACTGTATACCAAATGTTGATATTAGATAATTTACCTACCTTATTACATTATTTTAAAAAAATTATTGCAGATAAGATCTCTGATTGAATTAGATGAAGTTTACAGCAGTTAAGTAAGTCTACCATACATAAATGCCTGAATGAGGAAGGCCATCCCACCCCTTCCTGGAGGTGCTCTAACAGGGCACCCCAGAACAGTTCTAACATTCTCCTGAGAAAACTGTTTTGGACTCACTTCTTAAAGCTCAAACTTACACATAAGCAAATCTGGAAATTCTCTTTTATGGAGCATAGTTGCAAGAATTTTAGTTTTTTCTATTTCTAAAACAAGTGCCAATTCTTATTGTGGATGTCATAAAAAAGAGAACATACATCCAAAGAAAAATTAAAAAAATACTTGAAATAATCATGGTATACTTAACTTCTATGCACCCTGTATTACCAAAGTAATTTAATGAGATGGTTTATTAGATTGCACTATTGATAAACCATTAAAAGTAAACAGTAAATACTCATATTAAACAATAGTACCCAAGATAATATTACCAAAATAATAAGTTCATCAATATGCCTTCTATTTTGGAAAAAAAATTTATCAATTTCTTGCTTCTTTCATTTCCAGACTTACCCCCATTGTCTTCTCCCTATTAACCTCCCAGAATAGTTGAAACATCAATCCTGAACTGAGACCCCAACAAAAAACAGTATTGGTTATGCAGACTCTCCTCCTTTTGAGAACACCCATGCCTTTGTTCCCATGGGAAGTTCGTAGAGGAGTAAATCCAACAGTCCAACTTAATTTCAGTTTGTAGTAAAACAAAACAAACACACGCAAAAGAACAAACAAAATTTTGCACTCCCATTGCAATTAGAGAAATAGTGGCTATTCTCAAACTACAAAAAACAGATTTTGGGTTTTCCAGACATTTATATCTGAAATTCACGTCTATTAACATAAGGAAGAACCTTTAAAGACATTTAAATACACTATTCATTGAGTTCAAATTTAAGTAAGATAAGCTAAGCAAACTCTTTTTAAAGTTACAGAATCAAGATTCCTGAAGCACAATTCCTGAAGTCTCACAATTCTTTTTGAGTGTTTATGAATTTTGCTTCCAAGTTTGCTGATCTTTTACTTGGCAGTTAATATTTATACCTCTATGAGTTCTCTTCAAAGGAGATTTCTCATTCAGTTGATCTTACGTATCTATCACAATTCTATGCTTTTGGTCAGGACTTCAGTCATAGTCTAGATTTAATCATAAACTATTGTACTACAGCACATTGAATTCCAATTGACAAAAATTTTTTTAAAGTTTGGTTTTCATTTTAATCCACAAAATGCAAAATGTGACTTGGATAATTATTTTATGGTATTCATGAAATAGAATTCTTTCATTTAACTATTTGTAAATATTTTTTTAAGATTCTTTAAGGAAAAGGCAACTTGGGATATATACAAGCAGTTCTTACTGGGTCCAGCATTTATGATTACCCCTGTTTTGGAATCTGTAAGTCTTATCACATATTTTTGTTAACAAAATTTTTGTCCTTGGTTTATATATTTTTAACAACCCTATTTTTAAATTCCAGGATACTTACACTGTAAAAGGCTATGTCCCTGCTGCTCGGTGGTTTGATTATCATACGGTAAGAAGTTAAGGAATTCCACGGAATTGACTAAGCAGAAATGGATAATAGTTTGGTCATAGATTTTTTATTAATGATGTATTTTCTTTACTTTCCACCTAAAAAGAATAAGATATTTCTTGCTAATTATAGCTGAATCCAATTAATACACAGTGAAAAGAATTAATTTACTCTTAGGTAGTCATTGATTTATTTTACCAAATGAACATGGAAAGTGTGCATTATTCACAAAAAGGTCACTGTCTTTTATTTATATGTCCATATATCCAAAATGATCATTAAAGGTAATGTAGCCCTCCCAAGAATAATGTATATGGCAAGTCATAAATAGCTTTTGCGACCTTTCAAAAACCAATATATTTTCTGCATAAGAATACCACAAAAACAAGTAGTGGTAAACTACTTTCAAAATAATCAGTAAACAAAAGACTAAGGCTTTAAACAACATGATTTCATAAATTTGAATTTTTATTATTTCTTAAATTGAAAGTGTATTATTTGATTTTATAATTGTGCCATCTAAGTACCAATATTGCTGATGATTCCACTTCTTGCTGCTTTTGTGCTTCCTTCCATTCTTCTTATTTCCAGGGCCAAGATATTGGTGTCAGAGAAACATTTAAAGTATTTGAAGCCCCATTAGATAAAATAAACCTACATGTCCGTGGTGGTCACATCCTACCATGTCAAGAGCCTGCTCAAAACACATTTTACAGGTAAGTGAAGTTTATATAGAGATCAGATTAAATTTGGGGATATATCATGCTGTAATTGTCAAGACCTGGGAAGGGTCTGAGATTTTACCCTACTTAAAGCACTCAAATTAGCCTGCCAGTTTCATGGATGCTTTGTCACAAACAAAGGTATTTCTTAGTCATGCAATAGCAAAAGCTTCATGTTTCCTTCTTATTTCCCTGTACCCTAAGTCCCATGGGGTGACATGGAGTAGCTCAGGCGGATGTTGCACATGTAAAAGGTTTACATGTAAGATGCTGCATAGCTAACAAACTCCAAACCTTATAAGAAAACTCAATCTTTTATAGTGGACTATAAGCAAACCTGTCCATTTTTTGCTTTAAAGGAAGACATTACCTTTATTATACTGGACAGTAAACTTTTAAAATTAATTATAAGAAAGCAAATACAAAAATATATTAAAAGAATCATTTTCCACAGCAAGTGGGATTTATTCCAGGGGTGCAAGGATGTTTCGATATCCACAAATCATTGTGATACATGACATTAACAAAAGAAAGATAAAAATCTTATGATCATCTCAGTAGATGCAGAAAAAGCATTTGACAAATTCAACATCCATTTATGATAAAAACTCTAAACAAAATGGGTATAGAGGAAACACACCTCAACATAATAAAGGCCATATATAAAAAACTCATAGCTAACATAGTACTCAGAGGTGCAAAGTTGAAAGCTTTTCCTCCAATATCAGGCACAAAACAAGGATGTCCATTCTCACCTCTTTTATTCCATATAGTAAGTTCACCACTGGAAATCCTAGTCATAGCAATCAGACAAGGAAAATAAATAAAAGTCACCCAAATTGGTAAGGAAGAAGAAAAATTGTTACTATTTGCAGATAAGATACATGAAAAACTCCAAAGACTCAACAAAATAACTATTAGAAATAGTAAATGAATTCAGTAAAGTTGAGGATATAAAAATATACAGAAACCTGTTGCATTTCTATGTACTAATAATGAACTAGCAGAAAGAGAAATTTTAAAAAATCCTCACTTAAAATTGCATCAAAAAAGAATAAAATACCTAGGAATAAATTTTGCTAAAGAAGTGAAAGACCTGTACTATGAAAACTTTGAGACATTTAGAAAGGAATTGAAGACACAAATAAGTGGAATAGTATAGTACACTCATGGTGGTATTATTAAAATATCCATAGCATCCAAAACAATAAACAGATTCAGTGCAATTCCTATTAAAATACCAATGGCATTTTTCACATATCTAGAACAAATAATCCTAAAATTTGTATGGGATTACTCTAAATAGTGAAAGTAGTCTTGAGAAAGACAAAGAAAGCTGGAGATGAATTAAAATAAACTCAATATGTATTAAAGAACTAAATGTAAGACCTGAAACCATAAAACTCCCAAAAGAAAACATAGGCAGTATACTCTAGTTTATTGGTTTTAGCAATTTTGTCCCTTATAAAGATGAAAGATAACGCAGATCTACTCTCCATTACCATCCACAACTGATCGTTTGCCCAAGACTCTCCCTTCTTTGCCACAGGACCCTTTATCTGGTATTCTCTTCCTCTTGCTCAGCGGTGTGTCCAATCTACCAGGGCTCATGGGCCCACTCTGTCGTCATTTCTACTCAATTCCTGGCTTAGGCATTCAGATTCTAGAGGATTCATATCCTATTTCTTTTCTTTTCTCATGCTGTATCCATTCTCTTCGTGGTCTACATAAATATGGGATATCAAGTTTAGGTACATAGAAAAGAAAAACCAAATTGTTTGTACAGTGAACATGGAAGCAGATATTTAGTTCACAGATAGGCCTCTGTAGGCACAAGCTTGGGAGGTAGTGTCCATTCCAAGGATAGGATTTATAACTTGCCGGCTACTCTCCATATTCTTATTAACAATTATAATGACAATTCAGTGATTTTTGTATGGAAATGTGAGGAATACTTACTCATAACAGATTCTTTTAAAATGCTATTACTGTAGTTTCATGTTTAATATCTAAGGACAGAATTAGCAGAGAGAAGGATAAATAAATATATCAATAAACTTAATATGGTTTAAATTATTATAAATGAGGTCACTTTCAATTTGCTACAGTAGGTGAACCCTTGAGATCAAAAGATATGCATTATAATTTCTATTAAATATGAAGAATTTTATTTTTATATTTAAATCATTCCCATTAACTCATTAAAAAAGGAAAGTCCTTTAATTTTCTTTGTCTAGGACAGTTTGTGCTCTCTTTAGTTAATAGTCTTATTTGTGTTTTTGGGGGGCACTTGTATGATGTCATAACACAAGTAAACACATGCTACTTTATAAATATGGATAAAATTGTACTTCTTTATTATAGTCGAAAAAATTACATGAAGCTCATTGTTGCTGCAGATGATTATCAAATGGCACAAGGATCTCTGTTTTGGGATGATGGAGAGAGTATAGGTGAGTGTTCCATTTAGTACAAAAATGTAACTGAAAACACACCTATTATCTCATATTACTTTTATGTTACCTTTTGTAACTTGGATGCTGAATAAAAAACTAATAATATTATTCAATGCTAAAATAGTTTATTAATTAGTTGAATCAACTTTTAAAAATAGTGTTCTAAACATTTAAAGACTTTCCTTTTATCCTAAATATAGTTAATCCCTATAGAAAATGTCTGGATAACTAAGAGATTTGTATGAGCAGAGAATGTATATCAATCAATTTTGTATACTCTAGTCTTACACCGTTCACATAATAGACTCTCAGTATGTGTGAGGTCTACTGAAAAACCACATTCCATGTGCACATATTGATGCTAAGAAAACCTCTAAAACATTAAGTAGTCTATAAACAAACTTAAGTTTGGTCTCTACACTTTGTGGCTCTTGCTTTTGTGGTTTTCTTTTTAATTCAGTATGTTTTTACATGAAAAGTTAAAAATTTAAACTTAGATCTGTGTTTATGCCATGGTTCTCAAGACCAGACTGAACTACAAAGCTTCTAGCCACTTGTGCTCTGCTGACCATTATTGTCAGCATCACCAAGGGTAGTTTGTTAAGGATGCAGATTCCAGGGGCCACTCAAATTGTATTAATTTTGGGAGAAGCCAAAAAAATCTGGAGTAAAATGCCCCCAGGTGGTTTTTATACTATTAACTAGACACTGGTAGAAGATTAAGTTTACCAACTGTTCTTGACAGTGCCAGCTCTCCTAGAAGGGAGATATGAACATTTTCTTGATACAAACCTTAGTAATAAACAATGACATCTGTGTGAAGCTGAAGTGCTCATGTGGCAGTTTACTACAATTTAAGAAAATTATCTGCAGAAGAGATTTTTCATTAGTATCACTGACATGTATCATTCATTTTTTCAGGTAAATCGTAGTTCATTATTCTGCAATCATAGGAAATAGGAATCTATTACTAAATGAAGTATGTTGGAAAGTTGATATAAGAATCATATGAAAGTAAACAAGACACTTGGAAAAAAGACTCTTGAAAAAAATCTCTTGGTAGTATTTTGTGATTTAGGTGAAAAAAATCAACTATTAGTTAAAATCCTATGCTTTTAAGTTCTTGACCTTCATTAACACATTAACAAATTTCTACAAAGTTTGCATCCTTTCTTTCTCACCTAGGCCTAGAAGGATGCACTTTGAATTTGCCTACAATTTCCAGAGGTGTAAAGTTGAGTTATATATAATTTGCATCATTGTCTTGGGATCTTTAAACTTACCACTAGACAAATTGAGTTAATTCATTATAACAGCAAGACAGACAAAGCTTCTCTTAGAACTTTTTTCTCCAGCTCTTCCTATCAAACTAAGATACAGATGAAAGAACTTGGTGTGACATTTATACTACTGAAGTTCCGTGAGAGATTTTTATTTTTAATCAGTGGAAAGTAACTAAGCATAATTCAGATATTTATGATATCTTCATGAAAGCATTCAAAATTGTTCTGGCCAATTATATTTGCCCCTTTGGTTATATTTCACAATCTCAATATATTTCTTATAATTAAGTATAAAGATTTCAAATAATCCTCCAAAATTTCTTGAGTAAACAGCAGTAATAATATACAAGTGCTTGGAGTCTTTTATTTATTAGATGAGATTAATTTGATTTATTAGATCGGTATCTCCAAGGACATTTTCTCTCACAGCAATCTCTAATTGATAGGCACCATCTAAATGATTTCATCATTTTTAAGGACATTCAAATTTTATGGAATACTGTTATTTGCTGACATATTCTTTCAAAGAAAATAAAAGATAAATCAAAATAAACTTATCTTGAAACTTGTGTACATTAAGTAAATTTTAACTGTCCCAACTAATGAAGTTGTAACTTAGTAAAATGCTACTTAATGAAATAGATATATGTATACCTTGATTAAGACCATCTGTCATCTTTCTCTTATTCATTAAAAACAACAGAAAAACTGTTCATATCTTCCTAATAGTTGTCATTTTGTATTTTTTTATCTCACAGTTCTATACTTAAAACATTTCTCTCAAATGTGCTTAAGCTACATTTACATATTTAAAACTTAAGATTAAAATATTTTGCCTCAAAATGTATGTTAACTAAGTCATGCATACATTATATTTATGGTGAAAAAAATTTTACGCAGACTATCATTTAATTTAAGATAGGCAAAATTAATCACAAATTAAGCCATTTTTCAGAGGACTGATGAATAGAAATAATGTATAAGTGGAAAAGGGAATTAAAATTTGTTGCTTTTTAAATGTTATCCTAACACTTGCTTCAATCATGCATCTGGCTCTACTTTGCCCCCTCAGTCTAACCCATGCTTGTTTGGTTTTACATATAAACCCAATCTTAGAAATCAATGTCATGGATTTTATTCCATGCATTGGTAATAATTAGTTGATAAATTTTTGGCTGTTCACTTTAGTTCTCTGGGACTCACTTTAGAATAAGTTGCCATCGTGTTCATTCTCCATTGTAAATGTTACATACTGTCCGTCATTGGGGAGGCCCGTAAGTGTCCACATTATCATCACTCAATCCTATTTATTCTTGTACTTGTTTCACCATTCTTTTACTGATATTAAGGTGATTTTAGACTTGTCACTGCTTTAGCATTGCCCTCTTACAAACACACACACCAATCTACTTCATATTTCAGTGCTTCTTAAACTGTGTTGGAAGAAGATAAATAAAGAAAAATTAAATATGTACCTATGGTATTTGGTACCCTTTATACTAGGAAAGAAACAAAATATACAAATATTTACTATTCTTCTTTAGAAATATAAATATTTCACTTTTTTTCTCTCTACAGATACCTATGAAAGAGAGCAATATTTCTCAGTACAATTTAATTTAAACAAGGTGTGTATTCATACCAGATTATTTATATGCAATTGTGTAAACATTTGAAGTTTAGTATCATACTTTATATATTTTATGTTTATTATGTTTATTATATAGGGTACTTCATTTCATATATATGAATAAAAAATTTGCTCTACCATGAAATAAATTTTGAATAACAGATATGTATTTTTAAATACATATTTATATATATATTTATATATATATTTATTTATTTTTTGAAAATGAAGGGTTTAAATTATTTCTTTTTCTTTTTCTTTACAGAACACCTTGACAAGCACTATTTTGAAAAGTGGGTACATAAACAGAAATGAAATGAGACTTGGATTCATTGATATATGGGGAAAAGGAAAAACTTCTGTTAAAGAGGTTAATCTGATTTATAATGGAAATAAAGAGCCACTTAAATTTACTCAAGAACCAGACAAAGAGGTAAATGACTTAAGAAAAAGTATTTTTTTCAGTGGAGTTATTCAAAACATATATATGAATGTCTTCTATTTCTCAGCCTTAAAGAAACAAAATTATGGGTCAGTTAAGAGTTTTCAGAAGTTTATTCATTTTCATTTGACAACCGTATGTATTGCCATACTATCATCCTTAGTAACCTGCATCTATTTTATAATTGTGATATAATCAAAGGAAAATTAAATTTACATTGAATATCTAAAACCATGTTAATCCTAATGGGAAAGTACCTCGAGTTTAAGGCTGCATCTGCACTGCTGAAACCATATGTGTGTGCACATACCAATTTGTGTTTAAAGTTGGATAAAAACAATTAGCTGTTGATCAGCCAGTCCCTTCATATGGGCTTAAGTTTCCAAACAGCCAGTTGTTTCACTAACTTTAACTTTAAAACATGGTGTCTTGGATACAGTCTTAGGTCCTCACAGGTTTCATGGGTTGTGAGAGTGCACAGCACCTGAAACGCAATTGCATCCAGTTGGAGCTTAACACTTACGCTCTTCTTCCTGCTGTTTTGTAGGCAAGTGAAATTTCCCCCTTAATATAAAATGATGTCTTAATTACTACATTGACATTAAAATGCTTTTATTTCTTTAAATTATAGTAAGTTTGGGAAATTAGAGTTCTGTATATTTAATGTATTTTCTTGGTAAAATAGAAGTTGATAACCAAGAGCCTCAACCCCAATTTTCTTTTTTTGGAAGAATGTTACTAGTTTATAAAATTCCAAAGTAAGAAATGACTGATTTAGTCCAGTAGTCTTACATGCAGACCAAGAAACTGAGTCCCTGAAAAGGATAATTAATTCCTCAGAAATAAATAGTCAGTGGTTATCAGTATAAATTAGAAATCAGTGTTTTAACTTCCCAATATTCAAATAATAGTATATAGTTTATTTACTAAAACAATGAAAAATAAAGCTCACGACTTTTATTATAAAAATAAACTAAATACAGTCCAGCTGAACAATGTCAAAAAAGATATTTTAACATATCAAGTATTGTTTCAAGTCATACCGTTATAAAGAAAAGCCCATTCCACTACTTTCAAACACTTTCACAAAGAATGTTAAGTATTAAGAAGAAATTTTTACAGTATTTTATTACCTCAGTGATTCCAAATGAAGATACTCAGTTTAACTACTAACAAGGAAGCAATTTCTGCTAAGTGCATTTATATAAAACAAATATTTATGAGCACCTACTCTTTTCCAAACTTTCATAGATTTCTGGGAAAAGGAGGCAGAAGTCAATTTCTTTCCCTTTCCCGTTACCCTTCTCTAGGGGTGTGGGAATTGCATGCAAGGGATGATTTAATTGTTCTATCAATACAAATTTAAAACATTTTTTCTAGCAAAAATTATGCTTACTTGCCTTTCATACAGGTATTAAAAGCTACATAATGTACTTGCAGTTTTTCACCTTTGATGTATGAGAACTAGGTTAGGTTTTGGTTCAAACTAAACTAGGTCAGTTTCAAACCTGGCTATCAGATATTAAGAAAATTATTTAACTTTTACATTTTAAACTTTTCTATTATAGTGTGTGGGAAATAAATACTAAGACACTAAGCTTTAGTGAAGAATACATTTTATAAAGCCCCTAGGAGAGTGTCTGTTATTCAGTTAGCAGTAAAGGAATGTTGCTTGTCTTCTCTTGCATATTTAATGATTGAATCCAAACTTTCTGAGCTAAGGCACAGTCATGTAAGTGAAAAAACAAAATTGTTAAGGTCTAATGAAATCAGCATATAATAAAAATACCACAAATGATTGACTACAGCTGCTTAATTGGTCACCTCCACAATTAGTCCCTATATGGGCTAATTGCAACTCTCTCCAGTGAAAGAAAGTAACACACACAAAATTGAAATTATTAGCAATAAATTCAGCATCCTAAAACACTTTAAGATTCATACAAAAGAAAAACAAATTTCTAATCTTAATTTTAT